CATATTCTTTTTTCCCTCCTCCCCAAATGTAATTGTAGCCATTTAGTTTAATGAGGAGCTGATAGGAGAGTTGACTCATGAAGGGAAGGGACACCGTTAGCTACCCAAGCCCTGAAACAAAGCCGAATGCCTCCACATGAAAGAGCATTTGTTTTGAATTTGCTCTGATTTACTGGCATCTCCCTTCCACGCGCCAGAGCGCAGCGGCGCTGAAAATTCCCAACTGGAGAGACCCAGTGGAGAAAGGAAAATAAACGCACTTTGCAGCAATCCCCCAAAGCTCCTTCTTCTTTTTTATGTTTTTTTTGCCTTCCCTCCCCCTCCTGCATATTTTAGTTAGCTGAAGACTGTATTGGAAGAGAGATTTAATGAGTTAGCAGCACGGGGAGCACTTTGGGTTGGTCTTAGGGGAAATTTGGGCAGATGGGGATTGGTAATGTTGGGTGGAGAATCCAGCATCCTTCAGTCCCCTCCAGATCAAGGTTATCCAGGCTGGATTTGTGGTTTCTTGATGAAAGGGTGGCTTGAAGAAAGCAAAAAAACCCTCCTGATTTTGGTAGATTTGGAAACTGTGGCAGGAGGTTGAGGTAGAAGGCATCATGGGTTGGGTAGTGGTGGTGGGTTTCTGTAGTGCCATAGGCTTTGGCCACCAGGGTTGGGCAGTGGATGCTGGTATAGGCCAGGTTGGATGGGGCTTGGAGAAACCTGGTCTAGTGGGAGGTGTCCCTGTCCATGGCAGGGGGGTTGGAACTGGATGATCTTGAAGGTCCCTTCCAACCCAAATCAGTCTGGGATTCTGTGAATGTCCAAAAGTTGGAAGGGGCAGGATTTAGTGAGGCAGATTGCTCTTGGCACCAAGAATTTGGGAATGCGGCCAGCCGGGGGTTCATAGCTACTCTAGCAGGAGAACCACATGGGAGTTTGAGAGGATGATGGCAAGAGGAGCATTGAAAAGGGCACAGAAGTGAGCAGCCTTGCAGGTCTCCATGAGGAACCTTTGATGAGAAGTCTCAGGTTCAGCCACTGCCAGTGTCACAGTCTCCTTGTGGGAGCTGAGGGCAGTTTCATTGATGGATACCAGAGGTGCTGGAGGATGTGGGAGGGGGACCTATGTGGCTGAGGGGATGGATGGGGGAGGGTTTCCTCCTTGTGATAACTGATCTAAGCTGCTCTTTCCCATCCCCTTTTTCTGTTCTCCTTCCTGGCCCAGGAATGCAACATTGTATAGTCCTTCATGCTGTGCTTGTGTCCTCTTCTCATCCCACCACTGTTGTCACTCCCCCCAGATGTCCCGTTCTTCTCCTGATGCACCCCTTGCTCCCCAGAGGTGCTGGCTTCCATTTCCAGATTCTTGGCTTTTATTTATTTTCTTATATGTCTGTTTTTATCAGTGGTCACTCTGTGGACAGGTCAGAACTCCTTGCTCATGGTGTCTCCCAGTGAGGTGTTTGTGCTTGGGTGTTACCAGCCCAGATCCTTTGTATCATGGACATGATTAGAGAGCAAAAATATCCTATTGGAAATAAAAATAAGTTTGGTAAATAGTGAGACAGAGGGTGGTTTTTCCTGTATTTTGAGCTGACTCGTTCCCAGGAGATGTTTGGTTATGACTCTTCTTCCAAATAAGCAGCCTGGAGGTGGCTGGCCTGTGGTCCAGTGGCATCTGATTGGTGGGAGCTTGTATGATCAAGTATAGAGGAACTCTGCTCTGAGGGTAGGAGTGAGGTGATGGTGCTTGATGGTGTTGGTGCGGGGTCTCCATGGGATGCTCTCCACCCAACCCTGGACATCTCCCTCTTGACCCGTGCGAGGGATAGGGCTGGTGGCTTTTGGCTGATGGAAGGTTGTGGTGCCCGTGGTGGGTGAGAAGGTGGCTCTCCTGCAGGATAGATGAATGGTGCTGGATGTGCAGGCAAAGTGAATCTCTCCAGGAAACCCAGAGCTGGCTGTGATGGGGAAAGTGAGATGAGCTGGCTTGTGTCCTCGCCACCTCTGCCGCTTTTTTTATTTAGAGGGATTATTCATAAAATACCAAACCTGAGAGTTTACCCAGATTTCAGGCCAGTCTTCTTGACTTGCCCTGACTCTGGAATGACTCCAGGGTCTCCTGGAGCCAGTGGATGTTAAATGATGATGCTTGGTGGGTGCTGGACCAAGGCTCTGCAAGGCTTGAGGCTGGGAGACCCCACAAGGTTCTTCAGGAGTAAGCACAGCCTCAGTTTCTCCCTCCCAACTCCTCAGTACCAAAAAGCTGGGAAAAGACCTCGGGAGGTTGGAGAAGCATCAACATTGCTCCCTGCTTGGCTGTGGGACCTCATCTGGTTTAAGGGACCTCTTGCCTGAGTGACATTTCATTCCAAAATTGCGAGCAGGCCAGGAATGTTTCACTATGTCTCTTATCCCTGCTGGAATCTGCTCGTTGGGGAAGGAGCACTGTGTCCAAATCTGGAGCTATTGGTCCCTAAAAGTGGCTCTTCCCTCCCCATCCACCATGTAAACAAGATCCTTTGTGGTTTCTCCAGCAGCGTCCTGCCTGGTTTCCCATTTACCCCCTCCCCTTCCCACCTCCCTTTTCCTACAGAGTTTATAACCTCCTGTGAAATGCCTTTATTTACAAATTGGCATCCTATTATAATCTGAAATTGAGACGTCTTCCTGTGGAACTAGGATTGTATATTTGTCCCGGGGATAAACAATTGCTTGGGGAATTTTTATTTAATTCATTTTTTAAATTTTTTTTTAATGTTTTAAGTAATTTATTCTTAGTTTATTTTGGAGCCTAAAATGGCCTTTGGATCCTTGGCTTGGGGCACCACGGGGCGCTGCACCCTTTCCATCCCGCCCTGGCTGGAGACTCAACGCCACCCCCTCCTCCCCTCTCCTTCCTCTTCCCCAACTTGTTCTACCTCAAAACTACTGTCCTGTCCTGGCAGAGGACAAGGTTATCAGGGGTTAACGCCGGGATGACAGCACTGGAGCCTCTGGAGCAAAGCAGGCTGCCTGCCAGACTAGGAGCCTCCCGCCTCGCCTTGCACATCAGCGCTTGGCACCGACTCCGGGACTCTTGGCTTGGCCTCTCACTCTGGCTCCTCCAGCCCCATCAGGGCTTTTTGTTGTTTTGTTTTGTGTTTGTTTTTAAGAGGGACAGGGCTGGTG